CTCCACTTGAATTTGAAGTGGGCGGAGTCAGATCTGCATCGCTACCAATCCTTTTCAGTTGAAGTGTGTGAGCAACTAGCAAAAGTGAAAAAAGTCGAAGAAGCAGATTTCATAAAACATTTTGGAAATTGTGACCGCTGAAAGTGTGCAGGGTGTTGGGGCGAGGCTTGCAGCAGTACATAGTGTGGTATAGTTATCAACTGCCTATTGTAAGGAGTGTAACCTATTTGGTTTGAAAAGTGTCCCATTTGGTTAGAACAGTGTCCGATTTAAAGTGAAAATGATCTATAAAACTCCCCTATTAGATCAACATATTTTCAAAAATATGGGAAAACGTAATTAAAAAACCTTTTCAAAAGTGATTCCTTAGGATCCAAAACATGTTTGTATGAACCTTGACGCACTATTCTTGATATCTTGCCCAACTGCTTCATAACCCGTCCTATGTGTGGTTGAGAATCATGTCCAGTGAAACTTTTCGAGTTTCTGAGAGGAACTGCAGCAAGCAAGGAAGATACTGTTAATAACCAGTACATGTGACTAAGTAGGGCCTAGACATCGATTCAAAGCGTCGCTTGTCACGCCTACAAGCCGAGACCTTTCACTCACTGCCTTTTGTCTGTAAGTTGAACAACACAAGAGCATTTCAGTCTTGGTTGAAAGTCCTCCTGGCTCTGGCCAATTCGTGCCGGTCGTCAACAATCCGTCCGAAACTGCTCTAAATCCAGGTACTAATGTCGTTGTGATGTACGAGCCAGGTTCATTTAATATTATTGCATAAGGATAGTGGTATACCCTTAATCCGGTCGAAATTCGACCTATCGTTGACTTATTCTCGACTGCCTACGTGTCCGACCGGCCGTGTCGCTCTGTTTCTCGATACTTAGTTTTTTGTGCGGTTTTCTCTCTGCCTAGACCTCATGCTGCACAGTCATACAGGTGACTAACTGAGTCTTAGACATGATGCACTTTTGCAGTGTTGCTTGTAATGCCCTCGAGTTGAGACTTTATGAGAAGCTGTCAGTTCAACTGCTACTAATTAATCAACATAAGAGCATTTCAGTATTGATAGAAAGTCCTCCCGGCTCCGGTCAACTCGTGCCGGTCGTCAACAATCCTTCCCAAACTGCTCCGATCCCAGGTTCTAACGTCGTTCCGGTCGCCGCGCCAGGTTCGTTTCACATTCTTCCACAAGGATAATAGGACTAGTTAGAAGAAGAAATGAACATGGATAAAAAACTACTACAAAACAGCGACGGTCTGTTTAGTCCCATATCTCAAACAAACCGTAATTTCGTCAACACCAAGACTCCTCAATGAGGTGGCGTTGGCTGACGAAATAAGGACTACATTGGGGGGGGGGAGCAGACAAAAGATTATAGGAAGTTGATGTGAGACAATCATCACCCCATATATAGTCCTCATCATTGCGGACCGGTGGGGTGTGTCAGTGCGGCTCCGTCTTCCGCGGTGATGAAGTCGTTCTGCACCAGTTGTTGAAGCGGGCAAGTGACATTACTGTATTATATCCTTCGTATTACTCGTTTTCTACCACTTTTTGCCGCATACGCTTTTCAACAAAATAGGCTGAGAACGGTTTCAACACTGTGCGCACTCCTACTGGCGGACACGCCCCACCGGTCCGCAGTGATGAGGACTGTATATAATTCGCTTTGTCTGTTTATTTGTTTGCAAGTTTGTAAGTTTGTAAGCTTGTCTGTCCGGAAATTCAGTTCGACCGTTTGTTTGTGAGTTTGTAAGTTTGTAAGTTTGTAAGTTTGAATACACTTACTTAACAAAATTTTTCGGAGATATTCTCCAATTTTCACCTAGAGCTTTTCGCATAAAGGCCACCATGGTAATTACTTCAGAGGTATCCTAAATGCTTAAATTCACGGGAATTGTCTGACTTCAATTTATACTTGTATTTGTACTTGTCGATTGTCATTGTCATATCATGGAGCGCAGATATACTGCGTCCACAAATAAATAAATAAATAAATAAATAACCAATATAATACACAAAACCGGAAGTACTGGTAATAAATTGTACATATGACTAAGTTAAGGCTCAGACATCGATGCAGAGCGTCGCTTACTATGCCCTCGAGTTGAGACTTTATGAGAAGCTGTCAGTTCAACTGCTATTAATTAATCAAACGTAAGAGCATTTCAGTATTGATAGAAAGTCCTCCCGGCTCCGGTCAGCTCGTGCCGGTCGTCAACAATCCTTCCCAAACTCGCTCTGATCCCAGGTTCTAACGTCGTTGGCGGTCACCGCGCCAGGTTCGTTTCACATTCTTCCACAAGGATAATAAACTAATTTTGAATTATTCGTTAAGGTACAACTGTCACGGTTACAACTGAACCAACCACTACTCCTACTACTATCCAAGGTTTCCACTTATTATACGATACTCACAACTTGTTTTGCTTGTACTAGATAAGTAACAACGTTTAATGAACACTAGCTATAGCTCTACGAAGACTGGAGCTGAAAGAGAGTACAGGAAGTAATTTGAGTATTAATCAAAAGCTACAGCTTACATCTGTAATAGCAATGTTGAGGTAAGAATATGTGGATGTGGGAATTCATACAGTAAAATTTCCTGAGGACAGAAGCACCTGTATGTCCTGAGTGGGCTCATGAATGTAGTGGTACTGCTTTATATATTACATACTATTTGCACATTGAATCGAATTTTTTTTCAAATCAAATTTTATGTCCTCTTCGCATAGGACAGATGGTTGACTAGACCACACCAGGTACTGCCGCAAGCCTCGCCGCAACACTCTCCTCACTTTTCAGTGCAGCTATGGCTTCCAAAACTCGTAATAGAGTCTCTGTTTGTGAGGATTTTCTTGTACTGTTCCTATTTCGAACATACAAGTCATACTGGAAATCCCTGAGATCTAGTAGGCGTGGCTGCGTCCTTAATTTTAAAATGGCGGCAGCCCAGGTATTCGTATGTTGTCATTTTTGAGCAGTCGTTATCATGCCTACATCTAACACAGAACAAGAGAGCTGTTTCAAACTGAAGCATCCCACAGAAGCCCGTCCTATGGCATGCTCAAAGCCACGCCTATTCCGTCTCGGGGATAAGAGTGTAGCTGGAAAAGATTGGTATCAGATACTGATGCGTCTTCGCTCTTTTCTGTAGAAGCCATTCCACATTTCTAGTTAGTGCAACTTTCAAATTCTCATTTTTTTTAACAGGAAACGAACTTTCCCTGATTTTTGTTTCGGGCAGCAGATAAGCCTTAACATTCCAGTTTGAACTCCAGCCTGCCAATGGATCATTTTTCAAAAATGGGCGGGATTATGTGGTGGACTCATAGAGGACGAACTACCTGTTGTGGCCTTATAAAAGCAAAAATTTTGAAGAAAATCATTGGAATTTTGGAAAAAGACGCAAAGTGAATCGCGATGGCAAAAGGCGGTCCTAATGCGTGTGTATTGGAAGATTCGTTTTTTGAAGAGCGGATGTGAAGAAACCGACATTGAATGTAAAGTATTACGAAAATATAAAATTTGCATTAACTCACTCAGAGTGGGCTGAGTTACACCTATGTCGGTATATCGATCCTTTACAGTTAGTGTGTACGAGCAAAATGGCGAAAAAGCAAAAAAAAACTTAGAGGAGTAGGATTCATTAAATTAAGTTGAAAAGCCATGACTACGTTGAGAAGTGGGCGGGAATGTTAGGGCGGGGCTTGCACCCTATGTGGTCTAACTAACCACGTGTCCGATTTTGAGAGTGTGTCAGATTCCATCTGGGAAGCGTCCAATTCCGTTTGAATAATGTCCACACCGGTTCGAAAAGTGTCTGTGCTCGGTTTGAGAAGTGCCCGTTTCGTGATGAAAATGATATCAAAGAAGCGACACGGTCACCAATCGTTGGGAAAAAAATCGGGTAAGGAGCGTAAGAAGAGTCAGTGCTGCAGATGGGGAGACGGGCAAGAGAATCGTAAATTGCCGCTTCGTCCGCTTCAATGAGCGCGATGTTTCCTCAACTTACACTGGTCATTCGATTGGAGCATCGGATTTCATGTAGGCAAGGACATAGTATAAAATTATGTCTATTTTGGTAATACATTGTCTATTCTCGACCGGGGCATGTAAAATCGTCCTTACTAACGGTCCGACGTCGCACGCGGCGCCCACTGGCGCGGCGAGTTACGATTCTCTTGCCACATACCCCTGCAGATGGAGCTGGCGATACTGAGAGGAGATGTGAGCCTAAAGCGATGTTCTGCGACAACGCGGAGATTTTCGACAGACTTTTTCTTGAAGATCTTTTCGGTAATTGCTGTGTCCACTTCTGCTGTTATAGACTGCATGACGAACTGTCCATCAATCTACCGTGGCAACTGCTATGGTACTGCGAAAGCAGTATGCCCAACTGCGGCGGAGGCCAACGCGATGGTGCAACCAGATGGCGGAGAATGTCAGTAAGTGTTACAAAATATTAAAAAATAGTGCTTCATATAGGGGATGGAGGTGGTGTAGGAAGTGATGAAGCTCCACTCTGCATTCCGGATTTCGAACTTTCGGAAGGTTCTCGCTCGCGTCAACCGAACTTTTCATACCAGCAGATTCGATTATCTGCTACCGAAAAAAGTTCTTTTCGGCGGCATTCGGTTGTTTCGATTCCAAAATCCCAGTTCGCCTGAGACTTTGTCTGCACATGTCTTCCGGTGCTCTGATCCCTTTCTGCCCTGCATAACTTTCATTTTAACCAACGTCACTTGGGGCGGTGCTAACATTGATTAAGGGAGGGCTGGATGACCCTTGTCCTTTCGTCTCGGGCCAGCCCTAGCAGAGCGCTGGATGGTACCTGGCACTGACGGCTGTATTTTTGAACACGATCACGCCTACTATCAAATGTAGGTTTTGCAAGCTTAGTGATTAAGGTTAGCGCTGAATTAGTGCCTACGGGGGTTGAGTGTCTGAAAGCGAATGTACTCGCTATAAGGGTGCTCACAGTTAGCAGTTGTACACTTTACATCACCGCAATTGTCGGGTCGCAATCAGCGGCTCGCACCTGCGGCTCCCTCCCTAAATCGATCTTTTCCCCATCGCCATTGGTAGAGCAACGAGGCCGAACGCCCGTTTGGACCGCGTTGCACAGCCGCCCTCCGACGGTCCGCAATGATGAGGACTGTACATGGGCAACGTAGTCATAAGGGCAGTGAAAACCCATGTAGACGAAATTTCACCGAAAAGTCTTGCGAGTCTGGAGCGCGGCTAGAACTCTTATAGCGCCTGTAACATTCCAGGAATTTCCGCTGACCTCGCCTTTCCGAATAAGTCTGTCGCTTTATTTGTCACTAAATATGTTGAAAAATATCTACATTCAATGCATTCACCACATTTCACAGACAAACGTGGACTTGTCCTGCAGGAACAGCAGCATACTACTACACGGGAGGTAATCCTGTTGGACAGTTATATGATGGTGAGAACACGCTCAATTAACTACTCATTGTCATATAGTAACGCAATGCTTATTGGTTTAGCGACGATGCAATATGCTGTATGCTATGCTAATCCCGATTATCAGTGGTACTACTACGATGGTACCACGCCAATCGTTGCTGTCAGCTGCGAAAGCCCGGCCTAGGATCCATACAGTGCAGCGCAAACACCACAATGACAGCCATTTTCTCGAGTTGGAAGGTCAACTTGCAGTTGTGGCTCTGCGCGGTGGCGCATTCCTTTCTATACCGGTCTATTAAGCTTCAACTAAGGCCGCTTGCGCTTTGCGACTGAGGAGATTCGGCGATTTTCGTGATTGCACGACGAGGGGACTAGAAGTATCGATCTGGCGATTGTGGAGACTGAGCGATCCGGCAATTTGGGTGACTCGGCTTTTTCGATGATTGCGCGCTGAAGGAATGAATGGATATCGATGGACGCCGATCTGTGGCGATTGCGGAGATTCGCCAGTTCGACGATTTCCACAAAACTCCAGACCGTCGAATCACCCTAATCGCCGGATCGCTATCTCTTTCCAATCGCCACATCGACACCAATATTTTCCTCGTCGCGCAATATATCAAATCGCCAAATCCCGTCAGTCGCAAAGTAACAGCCCAATTGGCCCCCTCTCTTTTTACTGCACCAACCCCACGTTTGCATTTCCTGAAATCTCATCAAACCCCCTTGATGGGAAAGTTCTTTAAACAAGGAGATATCGGATAGGATGTTGTTATTTTTTAAGAGTTGAGAAGACTATTGTCTAGTTATTCAAGTTTGCCGCTCGAGCAATTCCTTTCGTCTTCCCTGACCGTTTTGTGATGTGTTATTTATTAATGTTATGAAGTTATGTTATATTTAGTTGTTCTAAGCTGTGGTGTTGAGGTACATAGGAGGCTATAGTTTTGAGGAAAACCAGTGTATGTTAAAAGAGTTTAGGCTATTTCATGTGGCATGAAGGCAACTCTTGCAATTACGAAAAATTGGGCATGGTCAGTCAGAAAAACTAGTTACGATGGTGAAGCTGCCATGCGGTATCTCCCATGTTCACTGCATATCTTGGAAGTTGGGAGGGTGGGACAGCGTACTTCATTCAAACATAGCGCAAGATGCATCTGTCGTGAGATAGCTTTGTTCCGCCCCACGCCCTCCCCAGCTTCGCGATATGAGCTTATGTAACGTCAAGTGTTTGTACTACAGTCAGCTCGACAAAATAATGTTCATTACTCTCTGTAAATGCACGCTAGACGTCGTACATGCAATATACTTGTACAAGCGTACTTTTATATACAAACAACAATGAAACACCGCGAGGAGAGAAAAAAAATAGAAGAGAAAAACTATCCAGCACATCAGAGAGAAAACATATCAAGAAGAAATCAATAAAATCAATATGATAATCGTCAGTAGAGGTGATAAATTCATTGGACAAAAGAAGAACAAAAAAAATGACTATGAGAAGCTCGTATCACTAAAACTCACATTTTGTTAGAAATCTATCTATATGTATGAATATATATGTTGATATTATACCATCTATATATTTGTATTAATGTATAGTAACTAGTAATATATATGACATTTGAAATATTTGGCCGACAACACGAGTACTGCTGAAAAAAATTTGATCATAAATGGGAGAAATCGAGGACGAACATACAATAGCAATCGATCACATCACTCAATAAATCAATAGCTGACGAGACAATAAATAAGGAAACAACTTATAGTATATAAATGTATGGACCGTACTACACACAGAAGAAGCATTTGAAATGTGAACGTTCTGATGTCACACCTTGCACAAGTTCTGCTCAGTATAAAAGGCTAAAACACTGTGAAACTGTTTTACATAGTAAACGAAAAAGTAAGAAAAAAAAGTGTGCAACCACGTATACATACTTAGTATGAGTACAGTAAAATGTGAATAAAAAATTAACTATCCAGTACATATTTTATGATGATGAGAGAGAGATAACAGATGTACATATCTGTAACGAAAATAAGTAGAAATAATGCTATCTGAACTTTTTCGATACCATAGTTAGATAAAAATAAAAGACAACATGAAATCACGGACAGTGCTATATGAATGACGACATTCCAAAGTAAGTCCGTCATTGGTATCTACCGACAGTTGCCGAGCCTCGATGTGAGGATAGTTGAAGGTACTTGTCAAATTCATGCGGATTAATGTCCTAGAATTTATGCGTGTTACTTAAGAATAACATTACTCGGTATCGGATAAAGAGCTGAAAGGAAGCTGTACTTTACCGTGAAAATTGGCGCTACTGTAGTTGAGGGGGACACGATGTGATCCCTTCGTTAACTACAGGGTTTAGATTTACATTCCGCATCTCAGGGATAGAGTGGGCGTGACGTGCTTCATTTAAACATGTCGGCTACTTCACTTTCGGTGGAATAGTACCGTTTTGGAGCAACAGTACTCATGTCTTTGCCCAGTAGACGAAGGAAAAACAGTTGTCCTGTTGAAATAATGTACGCAGCCACGCCCCTTCCATCTTCGGGACGTGTATTGTAAAGAGCGCAGACGACATTAGTGCGCACACGGCTTCATCACTGTGCTTGGAGGAACAAACTTTGCCGCTCCAGTAGCTCTCCTCCGCCATCCCCCTCCTCTCCCATTCACTCCCAGTCGCAGTACCGCCCGGAAATTTTGTAGCATGACTGGGAAAAATGCGAGCTTGACAAAGCAGTTGACAAGCTCATATGTTAAGGAAAATCGCTTTGTGGAGTAAAGAACCCAAACGAGGCGATTTTGCACGTGAAGCTGCACGACACACTCGAAATCGTGGTAGGCGTGGAGGCGAAGTTCAATTAAATGTGGCGCTGGCTGTGTTTTTGGTGAGCTGGTTACATTTCGAGACAATTGTGGTCATATCCTTGCCCAACACAGAACTAGATTACAACTGCCTCAAATTGTAATAGCTCACGTGACCCAACCTATGCTATGCCTAAATGCTACGCCCATTCCGTCATGGATACGGAGTGTACTGTACACAGTATCTTCCTGCAATATATAACTTATAATGTAATGATCCTGACCGGAACGATCGAACCTACAGTCATTCTGAAGGTAATTTGAATCTGTCTGGGAGGATAAAAAAAAACTGAATTGCACATCAAGTGATCGAGTGAACTTACCGCTATAGCAACTGGGTCAAATCCTAACGAAGAGGTGTAGTCGACATCCATGTTGGAGTCTGGAACCGCTCCGCTGTCAGTTGACATCGTTCGCTGAAAATTTGAAGTGGCAATCTTGCTCTAATCTGCCATACTCTCATGTTTTCAAAAACACTGACGAATCAATTTTACGTGATATAACTTAGTGCCCAAAGATCACTTCATATTCATAAGCAATCAACCGTAATTGAATGACACAAAGGACCACAAAAGTAGGAAGGGTTATAGATGGAGTTGGACTTGAGGCACAGACAGGCTGTTTGTCAAAGATTTGTATAATAGCCATATTCAATAGTAACATTCAGAAGAAACATCGAACAAGTGGAGCAAGGAGATGAAACTGCTCCCACTAAGCCACCTACGCTTGCTCAGTCAATTGACTATCCTATCATTCCAATGTAGTTCAAACATATATCGCGATAAACAGATGGGGAGAAAGAGTGGGCAGAGATTCACAACCATTGCTTTCTTTTGTTGGTACGCCTCAGCTGACGCGCCAAAGAGAGAACAGAGCGCTGAGGTTGTGGGTCTCCGCACTTTTCTACACCCATCCATTGATACGAAATGCGCCCATAATTGTTACCACATTGCTTGTGAGGAAATTATAAGACCCATTTGAAAACTTAGTAACTTACTCAATTATTTATTTGAACCTGAGTTATGTAGTGTGCCATTACATAATATAAATAAAAGTATGTAGCGCCAAATAAACAAGAACATCTCGTTACAAAAACTACTGCCACAACACATCCTACTGATTTTTTCATAATAAGTTTAGAATATATAAACGATCTTTTGAGATGCTCTCTGACTTCCTGAGCCTAGAAACGATATTAAATTGGTTGTACAATATTATTCTGTAGAACAAAAAAACTCACGTCGTGAGCAAATTGCGGGGCGAGGTGGGCGTGGCCAGTCTGGTTAATTGGTGGAAACGCGGGATACTGTGTTTGCTCAGGTTGTTGTGACGCATGAAAATTGTTCAGATAGACAACTTATACAAAAGTACACATGTATATAGAATCAATTAAGGTACTGGTAGTGAAGTCCGACATCTAATCAAAAGTAACATTAAAAGTCTAAAACCGAAGTAAGAGTTCGACTGGAATTTGGTGTTGAAAGCACTCCAAATCCATTTAAATGGAACTGTGGGATCAAACTTCGATTCGAGTTGAGATAAGCGAAAAAAAAACAATTTGAAAATAGTCTACCATCAAACTTGAAGTCTGCATCGGTGACATGGCATTGTGGTACTGTTGAGGACTCTGGTCAAGTAATCCCTGAAAAGTTTGTAAAATTTTTTGAACGACTCAATATCAGTGTTCCATTCTCATACCCTAATTTAAAAACGACTCCCCACATCCAGGCATTGATTCGAGTAGCAGTATATTACTAGTTTCCAGGGCTAGGCTATTTGACGCGCCTCTGCCATTTGCAACTAGACTGACTGCGGGCCGTTTGCGGGCCAAACTCATGGATATAATCTAGGTTGTCTTACAATCACTGTAACAGGCCAGCAGGTTGTGTGCGGAGTCGGGCCTACCACTAAGTTTTTCCCCTATTCTTACTTCATTTTGACAAGTTAAATAATCCACTGCGATTATATGAGCGAAGCCAGATTTACCACTGCGCCTTCTTCATTGTTACGCCCCTCTTTTCTGGGGAATGCAACCCAGAAGGGAGCAAAGATGAAGAAGACACGATCGTAGTTCTAGCTACGCCCGTATAAACACCATGGGCCACAACTTAAGAAAAAAATTTGTTGCTTGATTACAATGGACTTTGTTTTGTCTTCCGATTGAATGCTTGGTATGTGAATGGGTAGCATAGAAGTTTTCTCACGAGCACATAATGTACTAGTGAATATATTTCTGTAAATGGCCAAACAGTACGACTTTTCAAAAATCTCCACAGGTCACAGATAGTTTCACAAGATGCAATGCAATCCGAGAGCAATCACTCAGCAACCAGCAGGAAAAACTCATTTATTTCTGTGAAATATGTAGTAACATCATCTCTTCCACTGCGTTCTTCGAGTTTTCCTGGCCATTTTTGATCAGGTACGACGCTGTGTACTTTACCACTGCACAGCGGGGGATAGAGGCGTTCGCGGTGCGCCTTTGTCACTCTGGAAGCGGGTCTTGCCAACTTTCGGAAAAAGGTTGCAGTTCCAAAGACAGGAAGTTTAATTGGAGCTTGTAAAACACCGGACCCTAAGTTATTCAGTTACAGCGAGTTCATGGCTCTTTCGCAACGATTAAAACAAACATTTCGAGATTTAAGTCCCTTTCGTGACATTTTCCTCAAATGAGGTTCTTCAGATTTAATTGATTTACTCGAAGGGAAAAGGACTACTAAAGAAATGTTTTGAAAAGAATGTCGTGCCGAAACTGTTTTCTGACCAAGTTTCCATCCTCAAATGTTCTTCAAGTGGGAGATCCACACCCCTGAATAGATCAAAATCTAATCAAGAATGCCACTTAGAACCAGTTTGTTACAGAGATGCATGGCGCATCCAAAAAGTGTTGATGATTCATAGGAACCGTTTTCTTCTCATCTGAGCTGGGTCTATTCAACCATAACTAAGCAGCGCGGAAATTCAAGCACGTTATGTTGTGAAAACCAGATTGTGAGTACCGTTTCTCCTCGTTCAGCATAGTTCCGAAATACTGAAGTCCGTAAATGCGACTTTTCCGAGAACAAAGACAGTACCATTACGGAACTGCCACAAAGAGCCCCCCAGAACTCTAATATAAAGATTTTGAGGGTCATACGCCAATCATCGAGCTGTAACATTAGTTAGACCCATTTAGAATGACTTATGATTTGAGGGAGGGGGGGGGGCATGAGACGCTAAGCGCAGGGGTGGCAAGAAAATGCCGCCCAGCTTTAAAAAGTTTCTGTGTGCTTTGCAAGTTTGTAAAATGTAAGTGACGCAGATAAAGCGACTCTGGTCAACAAATTCGTTTGTGCTAGCCGAAAACGTTGGTGGTCAATCCGATCCCCCAGAGCGCTTTACTTGGTAACGAGGTGAAGGACCACTATAAGTGGCGTCGGAGCAGGCAGGCAGGCTGCCAATACATGAGTATGGGGGTGGGGGTCTGATGTGCACGTCTGCAAATATTTGAACGGCACGAGGGTAAAAACAATCGTGTATTCTGACCCTAAGAAAACCCTTGAAGATGCAGAAAAGTCAAAATGCTCAAAAGAGTCCAGTTGAATGCAAATATACTTGCAAGATGAGTGGGAGGAGAGAGAAAGCTGAGCGGAGAATTTGAGCGGGAAGTATAGGATCAATTAAAACTCCGATTCACTAATAAACGGCCAAATTGACAAACCGATCGCAACAGTTGCTCCTGCTTTTCCAACATCACTGAGCGCTCATTTTCTAGCTCCTGTACTCGCTGATAAGTTGAAGAGTTGAAGTCCTAAAAAATAGCTCCACTCAAGAGTGCTACTCTGCATTGAAAAGTTCATGTTGAAAGGGTCTGCCTAGGTTCACAACGTAATGAACCAAACCATATATTGAGGTTTTACGATATTCTACACTACAACTTTGAACCTTAACTATGATTGATGACTCATCATGGAACTACTGGGGTGTCCATAAAGTTTTAAGACATTTCAACCGGCTCATTTTCATTTAACGTTTATAAACAACAATAAGAGATAGGGATCCATACTTATAATGAACATTGTCCAACCCATTTCCCTTAACCTTTGGGCGGGATAACTTTGCGTGGGAGCTATTAGCGTTTCCGGCAAAGTTCTCAGCGTTCTTGAGTGATTTCCTTTAAACGCCATCATAACTGTCCTACATACTTATCGGATTCAATCGAAAAGCACACTTTTGCCAATGTGACACCAGTCGAGAAATTTCATCAAAGGGGAAAACTGGGTGGTCGAGAATCTACGAAATCCACGAGGGCTCTTTTGCCTGGTCCTAATTGATGAAGTATTTTCCAGCAAGGAAGTTCTGAAAATGTTTGAAAAGGTGACAGTCGGTTGGTGAAAGGTCTGGAGAATATGGCGGGTGAAGTAGAACTTCAACACCCAATACGTTCAATTTATGGATAGTGATCTGTGAAACATGTGGGTGGGCGTTGTCATGCAGAAGAATCGGACCTTTTCTGTTGACAAGTGCTGGCTGCAGCTGACGCAATTTTCGGTGAATTTCGTCGATTTCTACACAGTAGGATTCTGCTGTGATGGTTTGGCCTGGTAACAAAAAGTTATAGTGGATCACACCAGCCGATGACCACCACACTGTGACCATAATCTTTTTTTCGTGAGGATTCGGCTTTGGAAATTGCCTGGGGTCCGCCGGCATCCAACCACTGTCCGAAACGTCTCCTGTTATCATATATGATCTCCTTTTCATCACAGGTGACAATTCGGTCCAGAAGCGGGTCGTTTCTGATGCGCAAAAGCAGTGCAGAAGAAACCTCGAGACGTGCCAATTTTTGCCGGTCACTCAAATTGTGGGGCACCCACTTGTCGAGTTTTTTCACCTTCCCAATGCTTTTCAGACCATCCGCAACAGTGAATCTGCCAACGCCTAGCTTTTCTGCAATCTCTCGAACTGTTTGGGATCGGTCACCCTCCACAAATGCCTTCAAGTCTTCGTCAGGTAATGCTTTAGGTCGACCGCTACGAAATTTATCTTCAGCTGAAACTCCAACACTAGTGGGCCCCCAAGTTAATTTTCTAGCTGTCTCGACTGCGGATTGACCCAATTTGCAGTGGAAGAACAATATCGTCCGAAGTTGCTCTTTTCACATGCTTGAAAAAATCTTGAAAAAAGGGGGTTTATCAAGCAATGGTGAAACGGCAATTATATGTACCATCAGATAGCGCAAAGAATTCTCTTCAGGATGTACTACAGAGACGCAAGGGAGAATGAGTTTTTAATTAGCAATGAATGTACAAAAAATAGTAAAACAAAACGCTAAGACTTTTCCGGACAACCTAATAGAATGAAGTGAATACCAAGAACGGGGGGGGGGGCGTACGCAACATCCAAGCCAAACATCCACGTAAGAGGCCGATTGTTCTCCTAACAAAGATAATTTTTGAGCCTCCTTCACCTAACATTGGTAATCTGCATATTCGTAATCAGCATTCAAGGCTCTATCGATGTATCTAGGTCTCCATTCAAAATTCCATGGGAAGTTCAAACCATACCCTTGTAAGTGTCTTGTACTTGCTGAAAAAAAATCTCAACCCTATCATGAAATAAATCCGGATTTGAGTCCATTATGAGTAAAATGAAAGAAAAGAAAATTCACTGTTTCTTTTTTTCACTCCTATGCTCACCTGATTCGGCTGCATCTGGGCGTAGGCGTGCGGCGGTTGATGCATAAGTTGTGGCTGCGAAGAGAAGTAAGTTTGTTGCTGTTGTTGTTGCTGTAATAACAACTAATTGAAAAAGTCTATTATAAGGGTAAGCAGTACGCAGTCCTGAATAAATTGGTGAAAAATTGTCGAAAATTCAGAGTGAAAAGATAACTAAGCAAGGCATCTCCAATTAGCCATGGAATAGTGAAATGTCAAAAACGATGTGATTTCATACAAATTTACAGTGGAACAACCTGTTTAGCTTCTCTCTGAAAATTAGACCTCATATGGAGTTCAAAATGGATTTTTCCGATTCTTAATATTGACCTGCATCACGTTGTGTTGATGGAATTGTTGCTGTTGTTGCTGCTGCTGTTGACATGCATGGCGTTGACGAATTCCCTCCTCTTGCATGTGCTCAGCTGAATCGTCGACATTTCTAATTATTCAGTACTTGTTTGGCAGTGAAGGACCAGAGAAGGACCACTGGCATAGAAATATGCAAGGAATTGGTAAATTTCCCACCATGCTTTCGAAAAGAATTTAGTTCCGCGAAACTTCTGGTTGCTTTTAATACTCGCAACGAACAAAGTGGTACGAGAACATATCAGAAGGATCAAGTGGAAAAATGCGGTCCCACTGAATATCGGAAATCGCGGAGGGTAGGGACTTTAATGCCGTTGTGATGAAAAATCCGTTTGAGTGCCGGTGTAATTAGAAATTTCAGACTCATTATGTTGGCGCTAGGAGAAATGGAACCCACAGATCGCCAAAAGCTCACTGCTTGAATGCTCTGTGTATGGGCAATATAGACCAGAGTATTGAATGATCCCTCTGTTTCTCTGACAAGCCGTGTGGCCCATATCCCGAAGGTAGGGAGGGCGTGACTGTGTGCTCTGTTTGAAGGTGGTAGGGCTGAGCTTCAATAGGATATTGCTGTGTTAGGACAATAGCTGTACTGTCGTCGTCCAGCACAAGTTTGGATGACAGCCAGAACGGAAATAAAAATGCATTCTATGCCGTTGCAAAGGAAGTACCTAGCCACGCCTCCCCATCTGGGGGATTTGTAGTGTATGTGGAGAAGCTTGTAAAGAATCGAAAAAAACTCACGTATTCGTGGATCGTACCATGTCGTTGTCTGTGTATTATGATCAACGAAATACCGATTTCCGAGCTCATCAAGTTTCATTTCCCAATTAGGCGGCAACGGTCCAAGTGCACTCATTTTATCACCCAACTAAATGTTTTTAATTAGTACTCAAATACATTCTAGTACCAAAGTAAACTCTGTTCTGGTTTCTGCTCACCTGAGACCCTGGATCATGCATTCCAACAATCATCGGATCAAGCGAATGACTCTTTCCACGAGGATCAAACAGTGAAGATGGAACCGATCTGAAATGGTCCCTCCATTTCTATGATCGGGGCTGAATTAGCCTCTTGTTAAAGGGTTGAAGTCAAAAGTTCCCCTCGTAGACAACACACATTATCCTCGAGAAATCTCTCGCAACGAGGGGGGCCGTATCTGAATCTTGAGGAGATCGAGTCAAATTCAGTTTGCTGGCTTGTTCACTAGACCAGAAGGGTCTGTATTGAAGTGGAATGAAATTTCGAGAAGGGAAGAAGATATCAGTTCGCTCCCTTGTCGACGGGATCCACCTGAGAAATCCCAAGCAAGGGGTTGGGTGAAATTGTACGTTTGGGTCAAGGAACTGTACAACATGAAGAAGAGGAAAGGGTCATGCTGAACAACCGATCAACTACGAACGAAGCTCCAACCATTTCTCCAATAGGGGAATTAAGACATTCTACTGGGATTTACTGAATCTTGCTAAGTTATAAAAACAGAAAATATCGTACTCATGAAATGAGGGTTGAGTTCCGAACGATGCATTATAGTTGGCCTCATGTGAAACAGATCGATTGTGTTGTGGCACTCTGGAAAGCATATTTTTAATTCTACGGCGTCGATAGTTCGAATTTTGAGGAGTTATTCAAGAATAATATTCAGAAAATTGAAATCAAACTAACGTAAACGCTGGATCCGGCATTGGTGGGATGGCTGATACGGATTTGGAATGATGATGGGTGATCACTTGTGGAACGGCTACTGGCCTGAATATTAAAAAGCTCTTCTATTGAAGCTCTTGCCATCTATGAAAATGGTTTGAACAAGGACTTTTACTTCATTACTTCACTAAAGGGGTCATCCACGTCTGCCTATAGGGGTAAACAGGGCCATCGCTGTGCCTTCCTCATGAGCACTTTTCCTTAGGTACACTGTTTCTTCATATCTTTCCAGCAATGATAGGCGCCCGTGTAAGGAAGGGAAAGTGATTGGTCAGACTCCGCCCTAATGATCGGCATGGACTGTGCCTTTAAGGAACTGCCTATGCCGGAGTTTATCATACACCCATCAGTTAATTTGTTACTTTTCTCAGAAAATAAGTCCCAAAATAACGGAGTAATTTCTGAAAAGAATAAATCGAACAAGGCATCAAAAAGAAAGGGAAAGGATAGCATCTCGCCGGAAAAATAATGGTGGTAACTACAAATCGTCAGTGGTCCCATTTTACGAGCGCCTTTATCTTGATTAACAACAGAAACATGTGACACTCCAGTAATATCCGAGAGCTATTACTTTCAGACGTTGTATTACACAGTTACTCACCGGGGAACAAGACATGAATTTCCGGTAACTACTGAAGGTGGCCGAATCCACAAAAAAAAACCGGCGACACTAAGTCATTCCAGTGCAAGCTACCAATACAAACAGATTACTCCTTGGAAAGTTTCCGAAAAGTGAAGCCGCTAAAATCGTTCACTCAAGTGGTTTTCAGGTGCTCGGTCAGCATTGAAATGAACTTCGAAATACGTGTCGAATTTCTGCTTCGACTTTGTTTGCTCCCTTTGATTTCCGATTTCCGACTTTGTATAAGGATCCTCAGAAGTTATTTGACTTTGTCTCCTATCCCTCGCAGTTCCACACTACCACTTTCCACGGCTTTTCGGTTTCCGGAACTTAACGATGTAGATGATGTAGCTCATTCCCGTTTTAAATGTGAACAGTCATGTTTTCAAGGATAAGAATGCAGAATGCCAATCATTCCTGCAGTTCATCATGTCGGTAAAGAAAGAGGACAGATGTTGACAAGCTACGCGAATTTCAACGCTTGCGCTATTTTTATTATCTAATCAATAACCGTTCCAATACAAGTTATGGATCATCATTATATGTTTGTAAGGAGTTTGGCTAAAATGCAATTCAACGTTTATGGAAAACGCTGGGAAGTTTGGATTTTCGAAGTATTCCAAGGTTTTTTGAAGGTTTTTAGCGTAAGTTTATCAGACTACCAGTAAACCAGCGAGTGCCTCTGATTGGGATATTCTTCATAGAAGCTCGTAATTACATACCTATTGTACAAGTCTAGATGATGTGTATCGAGTTCTGGTGCGCTGGCTTGCTTTTTATGAAACGGCGTCGAAACCTGCAATACACGATAAACAGCTGTTCGTGGAACAACGACGAGGCAAAAGCCAAATTTATCACGACTTTTCTCCCTCCTTTTTTACTTTCAAAGATCGATGAGTGGCAAACGACAAGACGAGCACCACCACGGTGACCAGAAAACGATCGATAAACACTATTGTTGAAAAAAAGGATTTGAATTGTATTTGTATATAGTCACTCTACACGGGGTTTCAATGTTAGGCTTTTACTTCTCCTTCCATGTTGGAAAGAGTAGCGTTGGAAAAGTTTTAGCCAATAGCCGTTCCTTGTTCCTCCCATTGTCCCATTGGCCTTGTCGGCCCCGTTGTACTATTGGCTGCTGTCGAGGGGTGTAGGTTAGGACTCCATGAGAGGTCACGGCCGCCATGTTTCGCCTTGCCGCGCGCCGCGATTGCTGCCGTGACTGGACGAGACCCATACAGTCGTGCGATTAAGATCCTGGTCCCTTCACATAGTTCCGGCATCACGCAAATCTGCTTGGCATTTTGCCAAACCAGACTATTCATAGGGACGTCAATATTTGTGAATGACAGCTGCATTTATTCAATGGATTGCTGTAATTCATTAATACTACCTACTTTTTCCGTCTGGCCGCAAATCTTAGGCCTTTACAATACCATGCAGAGGAGTGCAAAAGAAGCATTCACCCTAAAATGAATTTTTGTAGATTGCTGATTTATTCTCTAAATATTATTTCTATGTAAATGGACATTGTTTTATACTAAGAGTTGAACATCGGGCCCACTCCTTTCATATTTTTCACACCTATAAAGCAGACTGTTGAAAATCCAATGGACTATGCAAACACCGCGCACACAGCGAAAACACCGCGAGGTCCACTTCTTTTCCGCCGCGTCGCGACGGCAGGCTGACCTCTCGTGGAGTCCTAACCTCCTTCCCCGCTGTCGAGGCCTTATTTCCACAAGACCCTTGCCTTTCGCCAACCGCAGTCCAGTTGCTTCACTGAAATTTCCTCATGCGAATACCAACCTCCAAAGGAAATATACCACAAGAACGCCTCCTTTTTCGCACAAATGAAGTGCGTATCCACGCCCATCCCATCCCCGGGCACTGAGTGTACACATAAATCATATCGACATCGTTATAGGGAAATTAATACCAATTAAATCACATAACTGATCAAATCCATAAAAGAATCGCACGATGAAATGGGCCTGTAAATATGCTGCGGGACCCGCAAAGACCCTATATGTTCTAAAAAGCTCACACAAAAATGAGATATTGTCGAGAACCAGCTGTTTTGGCCCCATTTTTCCTTTAATCCCAAATTTTTGGATATAACCTCTGAACACTGTGATATGTCAACTCCTTTCAATCACGATTTCTATCTTATTGCAGTGGAAGCGCACATTCGATTTGACATCCTAGAGGAATCGGCATTTCCAATGAGACAATCGAGTTCATGGGGAAAGATTTGCGGCTAACTTTGGTCGTCTATTCCATAAGTGTTTGGCCACAAAATGTTTCAAATAAGTGCAGAGGAGATACCAATATGTGATGGTTAAAGACCATAACATGGCCTTATTTGTCGGTATCTTAATAACAGCGATGGAATGTATGGGACAAAAAAAAGTGGATTTTCTGTATGAACAGGGATCACAAACGCATTTGTACAGCTCCAGCTTTTTTTGAATGAAAAAAGACTTTATCTCCAGCTCTGAGGGATTGTCGCCACTGGTAGAGTACGGCGATGGAAAATTTGCAAAAGTCTGATGTCTTAACCGCTCAACTTGAGGATATCCCAGAATATACACATTATCCGAAAATAGGCACCAATGGGAACCAGGCATGGGTCTCGTCCTGTGCCACATGGTACTGCTTTGGTTGTGGGTTGCCCGGCTACCTTCCCAGTGGGCTCAGTCATCTCGAGGTTAACTAAAGCTACATTCAAGAGATCAGGTTCGCGGATTACTATTGAGATTTATCAAGAGGCTGCCCCATTTCAATGAAGAGCTTGGATTGTGAGCAGGGCACGTTTTGCCGTTGGGGAAAATCTTGAAGAATGCGATATCTCTCGATATTTCCTCGATTTCCCATCCCCCATCCTACCTATTATCTTCTGAAGTCCTTTTGAGTCAGCCTTGTGCAACATTTTTCTCCAAAGTATTTCGTTCAAACTCCTCCACTTTTTGATTTCCTCCCAATAAATTGCCGGTGAGGGGGAGGGGATGTACAGCGCATTTCAAACAGGAGAAAAGTGTGGAACGGTAACAACGGAAAGTATTGCCCTCGAAGGCATTTACGACCCTTCCGCGCCCTGACTACCAGAATAACACATTCCCATTGACTTCTAGACTAGAGCTGTACTGTAGCTTTTCTTGATTCCATACATAAAACCCCTTCAGCTGCCCTCGATGCACCTGTTGACTGCCACTGGGACTGAGCGCATTTCGTCCAGCGTTGCTCATTCCATCATCACTGCTACCCTGTGGTGAATGTCCAGCCGAACTGCCACGTGGACGTGGTTTCGGCGCATAGTACGCCATCGGAAACTTCTGAAACGAGCATTTATATTCGTGCTAGGAAACGTGCCAGTTGTAGGCGATATGCCTATCATTGGTGTTCCTTTATCACTTACCCTATTCGGCTTTCTCTCGTACAGCTTGCCGTCGCTGACACGTCCGGCTTGAAACAGCTCATCGATGCTCTTATTTGTGTCGACATATGTGAACACCTCACATACTGAAGGACCCGGTGCTGCTGTCGACATTTTGTGCTGTTTCGTCTTTTTCGAAGCCATCCCTGCCTAAATGTACAAATACAGTAACTCATGAGCCCGTTGAAAGTCTCCCAATAAATCGATAAATCATCAAAAATTGCGATGAATCGATTGAAACCGACGAGGAAATGGCGAATCACTAGTCACGAGGATTCGTCATCGTTACGTACAGAACCTCACAAAGTGCACCCCATCGAGATCATTTTAAATTATGTTTTAATTTATTTCTGAATTGTGACTGATGTCCCGTAATCAGTGGCAGATAGGGATGAGTCAGTCGGTGCGAAGAAGGCACTGATAATGAAGAGACAGAAAACGAGAGTGTCAGAAAAAATGCTATCGATTTTTCAAAAATTGGACTATTACGGAGCAAGGAGTGACATGGTGGGAAATTTCGAAGAGGTGAATGATGCGGAAGGTAAGAGATGAGCTTTCTTCTGAAGGGTTCAAGACCGAATCGCTTCAAGAAGGCAGTTGGCTTTTGAAGGCTTCTTAAAGACGACTACTTATGCCGCTGGCATCGTGGCCGTCATGATGGTTGGCGATGGTGGTGGTGGTGGTGGTGGCGTCGGCGGTTATCTTCGCCACTCGGCGGCGCCTATCTGATGACTGTACTTGCTATGTAATCCCCCATCGTATGATTGTTGCCGTAGCGCTGACAATTGATGTCACATCAACAGATAGAATACCCCCCCCCCTCCAGCTACACGTATACTCCTCATCACATATCACACAGTAATAACTTACTCGAACCTCTCCCCGACCCCGTTCTCAGCGTGCTACACCTTAACGCCGCCGTGACGCACCCCCATTTCTCATCTCTCTTTACCGACTAGTATAGCTGCTACTGCTACCGCCTCTACCATCGTCGCCCCGAACGACATAAGCCGATCATAAAATTAAAAAATACCAAACAAAGTAACAATTACAGTAGTATGCGCACAATGACTAGCTGAACGAGGCGAGCGCCGCGTCGGTAATTGGATGAATACACCATGCGAATCTTTCACACTCATCACGCACATCATACTGTATGTGCGTGTGTATATGTGAGTGTGTGTGTGTGAGGTCCGGAAGCCATAGCGACAATATGGGCGCCCAAAATAATGACACAGAGGACATGCGATGGGAGTATGGATTACGGTAATGTTAAAGTAAAGTGGTTCAGAGTGTGAGGAGTATTGTTGATGTAAGAAACTCCTGATATGTAATAGTTGCATGGTGATAAAATTCAAAAGTCAAAACGTATTTTTAGCTTTTTGACTTCTCGCGTCGTCAATTCCACGAAGGCGTTCGAGAGAGACAAGAAAAGTTCACGTTCTTTCCGTCACAATGGTACAGCCACGCGGAGATAAAACAGAAAAAGAAGCAACAAATGTGAAAAGATCAATGAAACGAGTTGATAACGTGGCTTTTACGTGTGGGTGTGTGTTGAAAATGGAAATTCCCTCATTATAAAGTCAAAATTGAGAATTTCAAAAGTCGAAAAGATTGGGTAAGAAGGAAACGACAAAGGAATGGAGGAATAGGCACTTTCTTTCCTATGATTAGTACAAAAATGCTAGCGCCCAGCACTCAGATAGCCAGCGTTAACAGCCGTTATAAAAGCAACCAAATAAACAAGCATCTAAAAACAACAGAGCTCATTAACTGACTGAAATCTAGACAATCCAAATGACGAAAATACAAATATCCAAGAAAAACCAACAAAGAGAATTATAGGAAAGCCCTGCTCGATAGCCCGGCTGTATGGCCGTCGTCCGAAGTTGAAGGCAGTTGGCACGATGTTTCCTACTTAGCCTAAAATGCCAGTAGGGCGCTGTATAGTGGGGAAATGGCGAAAGAACGGAGTGAAACGGTCAAAATCCAGCGAAGAAAAAGCCTCCGTTCTCAGTGACTTGTAAATCGATTTCGGACGAGTTTCCCATACGCATCTTGCTAGTCACCGCTACCGAAGGTACGGCTGTAATTTGCTGAGCAAATGAATGAATACGAGCGTCAGAAGCGGTAGTTTTGTGGGCGGGCGGGCAAGGAAGGCGTTTGGGACGTAAGGTTGTTGCTCAATAGGGCGCTATAGGGGTACCCTCTTCCAAAAAGGCTTCACGCAGCACCTGTCCGAGGTCACGGAATTCTGTTAAGCCAGTTGTACAAATCCTACATCTGTATAGCGATTTATCGTGCCAACTGCCCTCAAGGTGGAAAGATAGAGCGACTTATATGTCACACAAGTAAGAACAGGAATC